TTCTCTGTTGAATAAGAGTACAGTGTGAAGAAATGTAACAACGATCTCACGACGATGTGACGATGATCAGAATTTTACTAAAATATACTGTGTACCGGTACTTCATTTTAATCATATTGAAGAAAAAGGATGCAGAAACTGTAGTATTTACATTTCATTTTAATTATAAATAACTTATGGCCGAGTTGACTTGTGACCGAGTTAACTTGTGGCCGAGTTGACTTGTGGCCGAGTTGACTGCAGCCAAACTTTTTGTGGCCGAGATGATTTGTGGCCGAGTTGACTTGTGGCCGAGTTGACCTGCTTCCGAATAAATTATGGCACAATACTCGAAACTAATATGCATTTATTGGTAAATGATAAATGTTGGTGTTTGTAGAGTGTTTTTTGGTATACTTCCTGCCTCTTTTTACCATAACTGTGCAACTACAGGTCGCTAAACTTCAGAGTTAACGGTCAATTGTAGCTCATAAATTAAGCTTTATTGCTATGTAAAGTCCCATGCTTGTTGCTTAAATAACCATTGATCATTTTTTCTTAAAAATTTTGTATTCAGAACTGTTTTTTCCCTGTCTATGAATGACGTCATGCGCTTAAGGCCAATAGCGGCTATGAATTTCGAGTTTTCTGCGGTTAGTGCGTTCATGCATAAGTAGACCAGGAGCCCAGGGGTGTCAGCATAGCTGGAAAGTTAACCAATTTCTGTGTATATATATATAGTAATGTTTTATGTGCCTGTCTATGTAGGAGAATGGGCATCTGCCGGTCCCATTGTGGTAGGTGTGGTCAGGAGGGGCATAAAAAGGGCCCCAAAAATTGAGCTAGATCAACTTGTGAATTAACCCAATGAAACCTATCAGAATATATTCGGCATAGTTCAAGATAACATGAATGGTCAATGACCAGTGGTGGGGGGTGCGTGCCAGACGCAAAAAACCGGTGCCCCAAAATTAAGCTAGATCAGCTTGTGAGTTAACCCGATGAGACCTACTGGAAAATGTTGGGCATAGTACCAGGTATCAGGAATGGTCACCGCCAGACATTTTTAATGGTGGGGTATACCTGCCAGACACCCCCTTATAGCCCGCCCCCGAAAATTGACCTAGATCAGCTTGTGAGTTAACCCGATAAAACCTACTGGAAAATGTTCGGCATAGTACCAGGTATCATGAGTGGCCACTGCCAGACATTTTTAGTGGTGGGGTGTACCCGCCAGACACACACTTATACACTGACCCCTCCACAAAAAAAAAAATTAACATTGATCAGCTTGTAAGTCACGACACGATCAAATGCATTACAAAAAATGGGCATAGCACCAGCTATCCCGAATGGCCACTGCCAGACATTTTTGGTAGTGTGGTGTATCTACCACCACCCCCCCCCCCCCCCCCAAAAGGGAAAAAAAAAATAAGAATATTTTTTATTTTAAATTTTGGAAGTTTTTTTTTACTGCATTGTTTTTTGGTATAATGTTATTGAACGAAAGGATATCAAAATAGACAACTGTGAATTAAACAGTGAATACCTTTTTATCGAAATAATTAGTAAAAATAAAAAAATATAATTATTGGAATTGTATATAGACAACCTGACCTCTCTGTTGAAAATTTCTAATCCAATATTATGATGGAACTTTTTTTTAAGATAAATTCAGAAAACAGAATTTGCCATATTTTTTGGAGATTTTAATATTGCCCTTATGAATTATAGTAAAAATAATCAAGTTAAAACTTTTATCGAAAATATGATGGCAAATTCCCTCTTCCCCCTTATATCTAAACCAACTCGGGTAACGAATACATCGGCAACCCTAATTGACAACATTTTTACAAACCAAATCAACAGAGAGGTCACAACGGGTATCCTTATATCAGATTTAACTGATCATCTACCTGTGTTTTACGTTGAAAAGTCTGTACAAAATACACATAAACCTAACAAAGAAAATCTTATTATGTATAATTCAAAATATTATTCATGATTTATATAAAATAGACTGGACAAATGTAATCCTTCAAAAAAACCCAAATATTTCTTACGATATGTTCCATGGTGTTATAAAAATTATCTATGATAAACACGTTCTAAAAAAAATCAAACAAAAAGATCTAACAAATTCAAGTAAATTTAAACAACAATGGATGACAAATGGATTATTAAAATCTAGCAAAAAGAAACTTAAACTTTATAAAAAATACTTAAAGTCGCAAAACCTCATGGACAAAGAAAACCATGATAAATACCGTAACGTGTATAATAAGTTATGTAAAAGGGCAAGAAGGGACTTCTATATATCCGGATTATCAAAATGCCAAGGGGACATGAAAAAAACCTGGGACACAATAAACTCTGTTATAAATCCAAATAAGACTAAGTTAAAATGTCCCGATACCATTAAGCATAATGATGGTACATTTACAGATCCTACTATAATACCAGAACAGTTTAATAATTATTTCATTAACATCGGACAACAATTATGCAAAGAAATGAACTCTAATGTCAATCCATTACGTTATTTAAAAAACAGGCAAGCTAACTCATTTTACATTAAACCTGTTACAATTAAAGAAATATCTGATATAATCAGAAATCTAGACAACAATAAGAGTTTCGGATATGATAATATATCTCCAAAAATAATAAAAAGGATTTCAAATATTATCGTAAGCCCCCTAGTCCACATTATAAACTGTTCTTTTGAAACTGGCATTGTTCCTGATAAACTAAAGATTGCTAAGGTTATCCCCGTTTACAAAAAAGGAAAACATGATAAAATTAATAATTACCGGCCGATATCTGTGCTACCAGTTTTTTCTAAAATTTTCGAGAAGGCAATGCACGATAGACTTTATGACTACCTAACTAAATATAAAATATTAAACCCCCACCAATATGGATTCCGTGCTAAACACTCCACCTCGCATGCCATCCTTGAACTAGTTAAAGCTATCCTAACTTCTCTTGAATCAAATATATTTCTTGCCAGTGTTTTTATGGACCTGTCAAAAGCTTTTGATGTAATGAATCATGTTATATTGATACAAATGATTCATCATTACGGTATAAGGGGCACATGCTTGAAATGGTTCATGAGTTACCTAGAAGGCAGAAAACAATTTGTCAGCGTAAATGACATAAAATCATCACTATCTGAAATTACTTGTGGGGTCCCCCAGGGGTCGATTCTAGGCCCTTTGCTTTTTATACTGTATGTAAACGATATATGCAATGTTAGCAATGTAGTTAAGGTAATCTCTTATGCAGATGATACCACTGTCTATTATTCAACTAAAAATATTACTAATTTAACCCATACATTGAACTTTGAACTTTCAAAATTTAATGAATGGGTTAAAGCAAATAAACCTGTCTTAAATATAAATAAAACAAACTTTGTTATTTTCCAACCACAAAACATATTAAAACAGTCACAAAATATCTCTATCGAAATAAATGGTATAAACCTAAAAAGAATGGATAGCGTCACATTCTTAGGTATTGTTATAAACGAACATTTAAGCTGGATAAATCCCACATTCAATATTTATGCAACAAAATATCTAAGGTCATTGGTATAATCTGTAAAGTAAAAAACATATTTCCTGTACACACACTAATAAGTTTATATAACGCCTTTATCTTGCCGCACCTTCAATATGGGAACGTTATATGGGGAAATTACTACACAAAACATATTGAAAAGTTACATAACTTACAAAAATTAGCAGTTAGACTAATAACAAATTCACCCCGAGATACTAGATCACGTCCATTGTTTAAACAATTTAATATGCTTACAATCTTTGATATAAATAAGGTACAGGCAGTATGTTTTATTTCTATATATCATCTCAGGCAATTACCTGCTCCCTTATGCGAAATCCTTGATGGTAATACAAAAAGTGAACGTGCAAAAGCCTTAAGAAATTCAAACAAAATGTATGTACCTTTTTCAAGACTGACATCCTGTCACAGATCTATTTTTATTCACGGACCAAATATCTGGAATGAGCTATATGATAGCCTTTTAAAAATAAAATCGCAAAATTTGATCAAAAATAAATTGAAAGAGATGATTTTAAATACTTATTAAGGAAAACTTTTCTTGTTGATGTGTTTACTATGTATTCTGTGCGTGTATGTTTTGTATGTTTGGTATTCAAACTGACAAGCCACCGCTTCTTTTGATGCCTATGTAAATAATTTGTAATTTGTTGTGGATTTTTTTCTGAATAAACTTTCAAATAAATATAATCTTTTATTATTTTTAGTAGTCAATATTACAACAGTTTAACAATGAGATTCTATACAGGATTTAAAATTTATAAATGCCCAATATTCAGTAAAGTAGATTTCCCTACAATTAAAAATCGTAATAGTACTGGGTTTAGGAGTTCGTGCTTAACGAACTACAGTAAAATTAAATGTGAAGTTACTGTAGTATTCCTTACAATAAGATTAACAATTCAAGCTTATAATTAATTTCATATAGCCCGAGTGAGTTTTAACTTAGGCAACCCTTCCTAAAAAGGTACACTTTCTTCATCAAAAGGCTTCTACGGACTGTCTCTTATACACATCTAGATGTGTATAAGAGACAGTTTTAATGGTGGGTTGGACCCGCCAGACAC